CTTCATATGTAGCTGCCAAGTTATTAATATTTTTTTGCTTTCAAAGAAAAGTAATCTCTCTTTCTGATTCTATTTTAGTTTTCAACAGGTATTTTATGATAGATTTAAGGTTGAGTTATCAAGTTTGCATCACTGTAACCAATGGCTTCATTTTGATCTCTCTTTAGTTTTTGTTATTATATTAAGATTCTGTGGCTTGATTGTATTCCTGTAACTTCTGTATTCTTTCTTAAATATTTATTTCTGCCAAGGGCTACACTTCTTTGACTTGTGAAATTTTTGAGCCATGTTTCACATCACTTACATATGTCTAAACCTCAAATCAGTTCCTTTTCTGGACTTTTGTGGTGCTAATATGAATTTAGAAAAAAGAAAAGCAGATATAGGGCATCTATAATTGAAAATCATATTCAGAGGTTTATTTTAAATTATAATATGAATAACAAAGCATGCATTTGGCATCTGTAAATAATCACTTTATTAATCAATATAAAAACATTTAAACATTTCTGAATCTGACTTTTTTCAAAGTAAACTTAGAGTCGTGTATCCCTTACATAGTTTTCCTTAAGTAGTTTGAAGTACCAAGAAATTCTGCTTTAGGAAGCATAATATATGGAAAGAACAAAGACATGAGGAGAGAAAGACTTGGTTTTAAATCTTAATTACATAATATATTATTTTATAGTTGGAAAACATTATCTCTTTTGAGTCTCCCAGTTTCCCAGTCCCTCCTGAAGTTTAATAATAATCATACTTATTTCTCCAGTTATTGAGAGGTTTAAATTAGAAAATATATAATGTCTCAATACTTGTTGGTTTTTCCCTCACTCTATTCCTCCTGTTTCAGATTTTTTTTTATGTAATAATTGTCTGTTTAATATCTTAGCTATAGGCCAGGGGTTACAGAAGTATTGTGGTAAATGTTTAACAACTGTCTTCAGAGAAACAAGACTCTGATTTGTAGTGCTTATTAGTTTCTGTGGGGTAATATAAAACAACATGACTAACTGGAAGCTATGAATATGATGTCACTGAGGGAAGAGTTGGCAAGAGAGTCACACAATCCCTTCTTGCAGGCTGGTAAGACAAGACCCTAGCATACCACTCATGTTTAACATATAAAGCTGATTCCTTTATTCTTTCTCCATAGTCTTTCTATAGTTAACTAAAAAAAGGGGAAAATGGAAAAGAATCAGTTCAGCAAGTGAGAGCTTAAACAAAAATAATCAAGTGGAGATGTCTTGTGAGTTAAAGATTCTACATTCAAGTTGGTAGAAAGAGCTGAAAATGTGGATGGTGAGTCCTGACTTCCTCACTGCCTCTCATCCCCTTCTTGTTTTAATGCATATCCTCTTTTAGGTGTTGATTATATGGTTTTAAATAAAAAAATTAGCTTCTTATTACTTTCTTTATGATGTTGGTAGTCTTATGAGAGATTAATAAGCAAATAAAAGCAAAACATTGCAAGTTATGGTGTGTACATGAAGAAAGTGAGCAGCTGTCATTCAAACCCTTCCCAAGAGCTAGTTTCCTTCTAGAAAATATTCAGAAAGGTGATTATATTTCTTCTAGGATAAGATATTAAGGCTTCTCCATAATCCCCTGGTGCCTTTTCATTGCCCCTGGTGTTACTGTGACAAGCTCACTTTGCTGCCAGTTACTGCCTGAAACCTGCATTCAATTCACCTTTGACAATGGAGAGGTATATGAAGATGGGCCACACCTCCTATCCTTGAACTTCTGACCAAGTTAGCCTTAAGATTTCCCTCATCTTGACTAAACTTTAAAAAGCTTTACTCCTGACTATATTGTCTTCTGAATTCCCTTTTCTTGGAGCATTTACTGTAGACAATTTGCAGTTATAAATTATTTCTCTGACCCTTTGAGATGAAAGTCTTCTATAACCCAGAACTTCTCAAGGACTTGAGAGCCATCCCTTTGAAATGTAAACATCAGAAAAGATCTAAGAGATCACATCCCATTTCTGTGGGAAGGTAAAAGACTACTTTCTTTGGTAAGTGTTGATGACCTTATCATATTGCTGAACCTCATTCTAAGATCCCCCAGTACTTTTCCACTAGCTCACCTTAGCTGGAAAACTCTTCTGCTTTTTGTTTAAAGGAGTTGAGTTCAACCTCTTTCTTCTTATGATAGTCTTGATTGAAGTCTTCCTTGACTGTTTAACTGGTCCAGTGCAATTTTTTTTGTAGACTTCTGTATTGATTTTTCTCTGAATAAAAACACAACTGAAGAGCATTGAGTGTAAATAAAGGCAAACTTTCACAGACCAAAACCCAGCAAATAGGGAAAGGAAACTGCAAAGTACATCCTAAATAGGACTTTCTCCACAGCCTAGAGAAAAGGGCCCTTAGTAACCCCTTTAGAAGTGTCCACTCGCAGGTATATCTCACTTCATAACCTTAATGCTTTCAGGTATGTGTTTCACAAAAAAAGACAATGAGAACAAGGGAAACAGCAACAATGAAACACACCCCTTTCTTTATGCCTTGCCCTGTGCTTTACTGTTATTTTCTTTTTTATGGGAGACTTCATCCTTTATCCTTAATGATTGTTGTACCTTTAGTAAGCAACCCTTCCCTTTTCCCACACCCATTGTCAGTACACAATAGGTTTCTCCAACTTAGAGTGTTTAGTCAACAGCACTTTGACATTCTAGGGACAGTCTGGGGATAGAAGCACATTTTATTAAATAGTCCAGGGTAGAAGTGAGTATTCCAACACAAGTCCACTTAAAGTTATCACCACCAGCATGAGTTGTAAATGTGTTTGTTAATTCATCACATATATACAAGGTAACTGCTGGATCGTACACACAAACACGTCCCAACAACAATGAATCATAAACACACCTGGAGGAAGAAGAATATTTTCCTAATTGCTTTAGCAATTTACATGGCTGTCTCTTTCACCATGAAGTCAGAGCTTAGCATTAGCAGTTATTTTTGTTCTGTCCCCACTACACTGTGCCCTTTTGATTGCCCAAGAATAAGAAAAAGGCATATTCTTGAGTAAAATTGCAACTTTGCTTCACCAAAGCCCAAATGCAGTTTTGGCACAGTATTTGTTTACTTTTGGTAATGGACATCCTTAACATCTTTTTGGGAGTGAGGAACAAACAAAAGTGATTCTAGTTAAAATAAAACAATAAATAATCGGGTAAGAATCAAGCAGACACTTAGCCTTTTTTCTTATTTTATTGATAAGTTATAAAGTTTCTATTTTAATTAAGGTTTGATGTTATAGCTTATTTAATTTTATACCTTCCATAATGTCTACTACATGACCTTAAATCCTTCAGACTCCTATGAAATATCAGGGCCAGGGAGTGTAATAGGAGGGTGGTATTCAACTGACAGCAATGTTACAAGCATATCTGTTGAACACAGCAGTTTTCCAAAAGTCTCAGTGGGTTTTTGCATTATTATAGACTTGCTGTTATTACCACACTACAAGGAATTTGGGATTTCAAAACTGACTTTGGAGAATGAGAGGCCTTATTCCTAAGAAATAGATGTCTTTCTAGAATTCACTATATGTAATTTTTTTGATGCCTTTGGACTTTCAGAGTAAAAATTAATGGACATTGGTAATATTGATGAAACAAGTAAGTAGATGAGTAACATTTGCATGCCTGCCTTTGTTTCTACAGATTGAGATAATTGTGATAGCATTTTTATGCAAATAATACAGTTAATTTTTTAAAGGGGACCTCAGCTCTTCATCCAATTGTGTATGTTTTAAGAGAGTAGAATCCAAGTTGCAAATTTTAGTTCTTACTACTGATGACAATATTTGGTTTTCTGTGAAACATATTCAATTTAGGTTTAGTTATATGTATTAGTCCATTTTTACGCTGTTGACAAAGACATATACAAGACTGAGCAATTTACAAAAGAAAGAGGTTTAATGGACTTTCAGTTCCACAAGGCTAAGGAGGCCTCTCAATTGTGTTGGCAGGTGAAAGGCACATCTCATATGGTGGCAGACAATAGAGTTTGTGCAGAGAAACTTCCCTTTTTAAAACCGTCAGATCTTGTGTGACTTTTTCACTATCATAAAAACACTATGGGAAGGACCTGCTCCCATGATTCAGTTACCTCCCACCAGATTGCTCTCACAACATATAGGAACACAAGATGAGATTTGGGTCATAACAGCCCACATCATTCCACTCCTGGCCCCTCCCAAATCCCATGTCCTCACATTTCAAAGTCAATCATGCCTTCTCAACAGTCCCCCAATGTCTCACCTCGTGTCAGCATTAACTGAAAAGTCCACAGTTCAATGTGTCATCTGAGATAAGGCAAATCCCTTCCACCTATGATCCAGTAAAATCAAAAGCAAGTTAGTTACTTCCTAGATACAATGGAGATGCAGGCATTAGGTAAATGCACCCATTCCAAATAGGAGAAATTGGCCAAAACAAAGGAACTCCAAGCCCCATGCAAATCCCAAATCCAGCAGGGCAGTCAAATCTTAAAGCTCCAGAATTATCTAATTTGACTTCATGATGCAAGAGGTAGGCTTTCGTGGCCTTGGGCAGCTCCACTCCTGTGACTTTGCTGGATATTGCCCCTGCTTCTGGCTGCTTTCATGGCCTGGTGTTGAGGGTTTGCAGATTTTCCAGGCACATGGTGCAGACTGTTGGTGGATCTACCATTCTGAGGTCTGGAGGACGGTGGCTCTCTTCTCACAGGTCCACTGGGCAGTACCCCAGTAGGGACTCAGTGTCGGGCCTCCAACCCCACATTTCCCTTCTCTGCTACCCTAGCAGAGGTTCTCCATGAGCACCCTGCCCCTGTAGCAAACTTATTCCTGGGCATCCTGGGTTTTCCTTACATCCTCTGAAATGTAGGTGGAGGTTCCCAAACCCCAATTCTTGACTTCTGTGCCCTCATAGGCTCACTACCACATGGAAGCTGCCAAGGCTATGTGCTATACTTTCTGAAGCCAGGGCCTGAGATCTATGTCATTTCCATACATCCTCTGAAATCTGGGCAGAATTTCCCAAACCTCAATTTTTGACTTCTGTGCACTTGTAGGCTCAACACCACATGGAAGCTGCCAAGGCTTGGTGGCTCTGCCCTCCGAAGCAACAGCCTGAGGTGTCCCTTGGCCTCTTTTAATCATGGCTGGAGTGGCTGGGATTCAGGGCACCAAGTCTTTAGACTGCATACAGCAGACGGACACTGGGCCCAGCTCACAAAATCATTTTTTCCTCCTAAGCCTCCAGACCCATGATGGGAGGTGCTGCCACCAAGGTCTTTGGCATTCCTTGGAGAGGTTTTCTCGATTGTCTTGGGGATTAACATTTGGCTGCTCGTTACTTACGTAAATTTCTACAGCTGGCTTGACTTTCTTCTCAGATAATGGGATTTTATTTTCTATAGCATTTCCAGGGTGTAAATTTTTCAAACATATATGCACTGTTTCCCCTTTAAAACTGAATGCCTTTAACAGCATCCAAGCCACCTCTTGAATGCTTTACTGCTTAGAAATTTCTTCCATCAGTAACCCTAAATCATCTCTTTCAAGTTCAAAGTTCCACAGATCTCCAGGGCAAGGGCAAAATGCTGCCAGTCTCTTTGCTAAAACATAACAGGAGTCACTTTTTCTCCAGTTCCCAAGAAGTTCCTCATTTCCATCTGAGACCACCTCAGCCTGGATTTCATTTTTCATAATTATCAACATTTTGGGCAATGTCTTCAATGAGTCTCTAGGGAGTTCCAAACTTTCCCACACTTTTCTGTCTTCTGAGCTCTCAATCTGTTACAGCTTCTGCCTGTTACTCAGTTTCAAAGTTGCTTCCACATTTTGGGATCTCTTTTTAGCCACACCCCTCTCTACTCATACCAATTTACTGAATTATTCTGTTTTCATGCTGCTGATAAAGACATATTCAAGACTTGACAATTTACAAAAGAAAGATTTAATGAACTTACAGTTCCACATGACTAGGTAGGCCTCACAATAATGGTGGAAAGTAAGGAGGAGCAACATGTTACATGGCTGGTAGCAGGCAAAGAGAGATTGTGCAGGGACACTCCTCATTATAAAACCATCAGATCTTGTGAGACTTATTCATTATATTCATGAGAACAGCATGGGAAAGACCTGCTCCCATGATTCAATTACCCCCCACTAGATTCCTTCCACAACATGTGGGAATTCAAGATGAGATTTAGGTGGGGGCACAGCCAAACTATGTTAACAATATTTGGTTTTTCTGTCAAATATATTCACTTTAGGTTTAGTTAGCCTATTTTACTCAGATTAACTTTAAGTCTAAATAGTTTTGTGATGTTTATGCAAAGAAAATGTAACCACCATCATAATCACCTGATTTTGCTTCCAGATTAAACAACATGTCTGGAATCTTCTAAACATCTAAAAGCCTGGATTATGTCTGTAAATTATACTATTTATTTACTATTCTTAAGAGACTTTATGGTAAGTATTAAGAATGTTTGGGTGGAAGCAACTCAATCATTTAGAACCATGTCTGGTCCTACCTAGGATATAGTGAAGTTATTTTATAACAGAAACAGAAGCACAGTCTTGATATAACCTGTTAGGGATTTACTAATATACTCCAGTGTAATTACCATTATCTGTGCTTGTGGTTACTCTTCTGGGGTTACGTGGAAGATACCATAATGTTGGATGATTTTCACTTGTAAAACATTCACTTTGGATTCCTGCTTTAGTACCTCAGTCAAAAAAAAAAAAAAGTGTAACAATATTCTCAATTATTATCAATCCAGATTGAGACATAATTTTCATGATACTCTAATTTGATAGTCTATTAGGGAACAATGTTATGATTTCGTCTCTGTTATTCGTTAATATTATTACCTTGGTTGGAGTCTCATTATAATGAGTCAGAAAATGAAAGTATTGAATTAGACGATGTAGTAAAAATTCTTAGTCCTTGCTTCCCTGCTGATGTTTCTGCTTTTTGCACCATTTTGGAATGCAATGATGTCCCCTTGAAGTTAGGAGTGGTACTGATTTATTTGAGTAATGACGCAAAATCTGAAGTGATGAGTATTAGCTGCTTCAGCCCATGCTATTCTCCCCCTCCACTGGGATTGTGGAAGCATTTATTGAGGTAGAGGTGCCATAAAACTGAAGGCATCTGAAATGCTAAACCTCATGGAGGACAGCTGCCCTGGAGGGTCGTCTAGGCTTTGCTTGAATGATAAACTTTCACCGTGCTAAGCAATGATGTTCTTCTGTAATTCGTTGCCAGAGCATTACCTATGCTATTCTTATTGATGTAGATGATTTCTAGAATATCTTTCCCTCCTCTGAGTTTGTGAGGCATGATAAAATATGCTTGTCTGAAACGTAAACAAAATCAATAAAGAAGACTATTGACTTAAAACGCTTATACTATATGTCAAATATATGTTATTAGATACAGAGTTTGGAATTCCTCAGAAGTAGCTCACATATCCTATATACCTTCTAATGATATGCATATCCAGTATCTTTAAGGTTTGCCGGTAGGCTTTATGTCTTGAAATTATTTTACAATCTGATATATACTTTTCTCTAGCAAAGAGTTAGTTGACTTAGAACCAATCTAAAGTGGATAAGCAGTGTTCAACAATTCAGTACGGTCTTTGGGATTTAGTCAAGCTTGAATAATTATTGACATGTAAATGTCATAATGACAGCATTAATTTGCAGCAATGGATTTGGTTTTGGCCTTATGAGAGATAGATATGATATGGAATGGATACGGTCATTAGTTCCATGGCGGAAATGAAATGTCAGCTGTCTGATATATTGTCTGTCAATAGTTCAATGTTGCCAGCTTTTTAGGCCTGGTCATATTTCATTCAAAATAGAGTTGGAAAAATATGATTTAATTCAGGCTGTTATTATGTTGTTAAATACTTGGAAGCTATTTGAACCCCTATTGAGGTTTTAATCTTACGATTAAAAGTACTACACTTTGATCCATGGATTTTAAAAATATGACATACGTTCCACTTCTGCAATAAGTTGTTCATTTTTACAGTTTTTGAGTTGAAATTTTCCTGACAAAAAGTGAGAAATATCAGTGTTTAAGTATATTGATCTATTTCATATTTTTTGCACTATAAGAATTTCTTTTTCTTTTTTTGAGGTATTTGTGGACTATACATCTTGATGCTTCTCTCCAAAAAACATAATCAAACAAATTCAGAATATATGTGAAAATTCCAGAAGTACAAATCTTTCATAATAAGATACTTTGTTTTGGCCAGGTGCAATAGCTCATGCCTGTAATCCCAGCACTTTGGGATGCCAAGGTGAGTGGATCATCTGAGGTCAAGAGTTGGATACCAGCCTGGCCAACATGGTGAAACCCCATCTCAACTAATAACACAAAAATTAGCTGGATGTGGTAGTATACACCTGAATTTCAGCAACTCGGGAGGCTGAGGCAGGAGAATCACTTGAACCTGGGAGGCAGAGGTTGCAGTGAGCCGAGATTGTGCTGTTACACTTTAGTCTGGGCAACAGAGTGAAACTCCAACTCAAAAAAAAAAAAAAATACTTTGTTGTGCTCAGATGCTATTTTACTTCAATGAAAATGGAACTAATTATGTCAAAGTTAGTAAGAAGTAATATAAAGAAATAAGAGTAATCTTAATTCTATCCCACTCACTCTGCTGTCTTCTTTTTCTTTCATAATCTTTTCTTGGATAATTGTTAATACCTAGTTACTATTAATTATATGTATGGAAATCATAACACTAAGCTTCAAATGTTTATTGAATGCTTATTCAGCTCTAAAAGTATATGCCTAATTTTTATTATCCTAATTATTATTGTATGGCATGCTTTTTTTTTCCTTACCAAATGCCAATTGTGTCAATCTCATTTGCTTAATAATTCTTTCTTTCCCCATTCTTTTCCAGTGTTCCCTTTATTGTTCTTAAAGTTCTCATTTATGCTTACATTTAAAGCTGAGTAACTTTTAATCCAGTATTATCAGTTTGTTAAGAAATTGAGAGTTAGAAATGATGGAATAATTCTTCCAAGCTCACAGAGTTTTAAGTAGACTAAGAACTATTAAAAAACAGTCAGGACTTAAATGATCCTTAAGTGTCTTCTTACAAACATCTGTGCAAAAAAGAAAAAAAAAGATTGTAAGGTAGAGTTGCTACTCGCTTGTTGGACTAAGTGGAAAGGTCAGTGAACTGTGGAGAGAGCAGTTAAAAGTTGAATTGTTGTGAAACGAATTCCTGAAGGTGAAACACCTTTGTTCCTTTGAAGTCAAGCAGGTAGTTGCAACTCTTCCACCAACAAAGACTGGGTGTGGGGAGGGAGATAGACTCAGTACTGGTTGTCTCAATTGTGTTCATCACACTGAACAGAGTAATGAGACTAGGATAGCCAGCCTGGGCTTTAGTCAAGAATGCAGGCTGGGAACTTCTTGTAAAAAAGTTTAATATGTAATGAAAAAGGAATTGAGAATTGAGTATAAGCCATGGGTTAAAGGTTGATAAAGTCTCAAATCAACTTTATTTGCTCAGCATGTTTCACAGTCCTCTTGTGCTCAGAAGGGGAGCATCCAGAGCCATTGTCAATGTACAGTGTGTGCAGTGTGTCACACACTGAGCTAATGGTACTGGTTGGGCTAGAAGTAATTGGCCTGTTATAAATTACAGGACAAACTTATGATTTGTCATTCGAGAAGGATAGGTCTGTGAGAATCGTGCCAGGTGCACACCATAGATCAGTGTCAATATTCATGATTACACCTGTGAATAAACCTATTTCATTTTTCTGTACATACAATAAATTGTATGTAATCTAGACAGAAGATTTATCCACCATTAGATAATGATAGCTAGTACAGAAGTAATTTTTCTCTCTCTATTTTTTTTTCAGTGATGCTTGCAACCTTTCCAGTAATGCAAATTGATAAAATGTTGGAAGAATACATATAATATACTGGATGTTACTTTATTCAAATATCATCATATTTTAGATTAGTAGAGAAAATGAACAGAATAAGAATATGAGATGAAAAAGCAAATAAGACTTATTCCTGTCTTTTTCTTTGTCATCTTTAAGAGATTTATGTCCTAGTAGTTTGAAAACTATTTCTCTATATCTGAAACCATCTGCCGCTACTTTTTCATTTCAGGTTTCTGCTTCATTTTGTATTTTGGGAGGCAATAAACTCAGTCATCTACTCCTATGAGCCTTATTTCACTATCTATAATATAGAAGAGCTATTGTTTAGGTGGGTTCAAGCAATTTGGGGGGCCAGAAAATATTTTCTGTTTTCTTATGAGTTCTATTTTATAGCCGATATTGTCTAGTGAATTTATCTTTTTCAACTAATTATTGTATCTGGACACAAGTAAGGCATCTATTTTACTATTGCATATAGCTCAAGGGTACCCATGTAAAGTAATTTAGTAGATTACATTGTTGTCATCATTTACTAGTTCTTTAATTTAAAATGACCTAAATGCCATAGTCCCCCCTTATCTGCAGGGAAATGTTCCAGGACCACTAGTAGATGCCTGAAGCCATGTATAGTACTAACCCCCATATATATATACATATATATATACATATATATGTATATATATATGTGTACACACACATATATACATATGTGTATATATATATACACACACACGCATGCATGCACCATATATATATATCATATATACATATATATACAGACATTATGCTTATCCTCTATGTACATACCTATGATTAAAGTATAATTTAGAAATTAGGTACCATTAAAGATTAACAACACTAATGAACAAAATAAGACCAGTGTAATAATATACTGTAATAAAAGGTATGTGAATGTAATCTCTTTCAAAATATCTTCTTGTACTGTATTGACCTACAAGCATTTTTGGACCTATTTACCATAAGTAACTGAAACTATAGAAAGCAAAACTATGGATAAAGGGGTAACGACTATAATTTGAGATAAGGTATGTCATATGATGTGGCTGTGTCTCCACGCTAATCTCATCTTGAATTGTACTCCCATAATTCCCATGTGTTGTGGGAGGGACCCAGTGGTGATAATTAAATCATGGAGGATGTTTCCCCCATACTGTTCTTGTGGTAGTGTCATAAGATCTGATGGTTTTGTGAGGGGTTTCCCCTTTTGCTCTCATACTCTCTTGCCTGCTGCCATGTAAGATGTACCTTTCACCTTCCGCCATGATTGTGAGGCCTCCCCAGCCATCCATTAAACCTCTCTTTCTTTATAAATTACCCAGTCTTGGGTATATCGTTATCAGCAGCATGAAAACAGACAAATACAGTATGCATTTTCTAAATACCACCATTTGTTATTGCATGTGTCCCACTATACATGGGAGCATTTATAATATGGGTACATATTATGAAGTTTGATCATGGGTTTAATTATTTATTTAAAATAGATCATTAGAATTTTTTTAATCCATCAGGTGACTTCACATACTGTGAATGCTGTCTATTTACTGTGGGAGTTTATTCCTACAGTAAATTTCTGTGGCAACCTATGCAAAAATAAGAGAAAATTTTATATTTTTTGGGGGGGAATATGCTGATATTTTTCTTCAGGTCTTGAACATGGATTCCTGTATGTAGACATAGTCATTGTTGATGACTATTGGTGTGATCTGTAGAGTTTATCCAGCCTGACCTAGCAAAAAAAGATTCTCTTTTCTCATCTTGTAAATAAATCTGGTTTTTATGGACAAGAATACAGTGAGAAACCATGGTGAATTATAAAGGGGATGCAACTAGAGGTTGGTGCAAACATAACTGCAATTTTTGCAATTACTTTTAATTGAGAAAACTGATTACACTTGCACCAACCTTTATATCATAGTCATGCAGAGTTGAGGTCTTACGTTTTCTTCACGTCTACCTTTCATAGTCCTTCTCCTCATCCGTACATCTAATAGGATACTAAGTTCTCTGGAGTCTTCAGCATTTCCATTGCTATCATCTTTGGACTCAAGTTTTTATTTCATTCCTAAATAGTCATGGTAGGAGTAGCCTCTTAATGGCCTGCCAGCTCCAGGCATGTTTTCTTCAAGCTCATCTTGGTTTTTCATTCTCTATCATATAAAATCCCAGCTCTCTACTTTGGCCTTCTTCTGGATCATTCCTAGTCATCCTGTACTATTACTTATTTTTCCTATTTGTTCCTATGTTTAGGCCTATGCTTATGCCATTTTCCCAGTCTGCAATGTTGCAGCTCTATTTCTCACCATTTAAGGCATACTTTTTCAAAAGTCAGCTGATGAACCATCTCCTCCAAAAGCTTTCTGATCACTCTAGTAAGAAAATAACTTTTTTCTCTGAACTCCTGAACCTTTGTACCATTTGATGCTGTTAACATTTAGTGATAAATTCTGAGTGTCTTGAGTTCATGGACTATGCTACATATCTTTTTATTCCTTACAATGTTGAATATATTGTTCTACACATAGTATGCATTTAGTAGATAAGGGTAAAAGTATGAATTAACATTCATCTGATTTAAGATCAGTTTTGTGTTTCTCTGTATGCAACTTCTAATTGTTTATTTAATCCAGTGCTTTTTAACCTTTTCTCCTTGGTCACCTTTCTAAGGAACATTTTGCATATTTTTTTCCTAATTGTCAATTTATGAAACAATATCACACATATACTCTATTTATGTTTATGTATACCTGTGTTTTAGGCATGAAAAACATGGTTGTTTTCATCTATCAATAACGAACTTTTGCACTTTTAGAAGCAATACTGCTTTCTTTGAGAATGCAAGGTTTAGTGTTTTCACTGAAAGCAATTAGTATTTGCAAGTAGAAATCTTGCTTAAGTTATAATGCTGCAGAATAATGATGGGATTGAAACATGTGGAAGAAGGGAGAGAAGAAGCAATTGTTTATTGACCATCCATGAGTTTGCCAAACTTCAGGTCATGTGTTTTGCATACATTGTTTTATTGACTCTCCTAAAAATCCTGTAAAGCAAATAACACTATTCTGCTCAACTTGCCAATAATGATCCTTTTTCTCCTAAAATTCCTGACTGTACATTTTTTCTTTTTGAAATTTTAAATACTATTTTTCTTTTGAAATTTCTTCACATTATCAAGAATAGTGTTTTCATCTGCTAGTGTACCTTAGGTAGTACAGCGTCAGGAAGGATTCTTCCTCCCTTGAACTGCAGACAGTACTTGTTTATCTGAATTATACTTATGAGATTCAATTAAGATTTTTTTTTGTGAAAAAAGTGAGTTTAACTTTTTAAACAAATTCTGAAAACTGCTCTTCTGTTATAATTCTCTTCCATTCAATTTTATAGATGACAATCTGTTTCTGAGAGGTTTGATCTCTTATTCTGGTTACATATTAATTTAGTTGTAAATGGAAGTAGATTTCAACTTTCAACTTTTTCTTACCCAGGGGACAAATTAATAATCTAAAAAAGAAAGTTCAAATTTGCTATTAGGTATGATGCTAACTCTATTTAGGTCTCATATTAATCCTTTTTTTTTTTTTGAGATGGAATCTCACTCTGTTGCCAGGCTGAGTGCAGTGGCATGATCTCAGTTCACTGCAACATCTGCCTTCCGTGTTCTAGCTATTTTCCTGCCTCAGCCTCCAGATTAACTAGGACTACAGGGATGCGCCACCATGCCCAGCTAATTTTTGTATTTTTAGTAGACACGAGGTTTCACTATGATGGCCAGGATGGTCTGAAACTCCTGACCTCATGATCCACCCTCCTTGGCCTCCCAAAGTATCAGGCATGAGCCACAACGCCTGGAATCTTATATTAATTATTTCTTAACTGTATTATGTCTTTACATTTTGACTATAAAAAATTACTTGCCTTATAGTATATAGTCTTTTGATTACTAAGATTCGCTACTTACTCCAAACTGAAATATATCTGATAATTCACTATGGTGAAAAATTGGTTTTCCTTATCATAAAAAAGTCACCCAGTTAATGAAAATGTTTTGTACAGCACATGAAATAAGTGAACAATCATTTTGATGCTTTTACTACACACTAGTATTTATAAAAATTCCACTGATAAAATTCAGTGGTACAGAATGAAACTAATTTTTAGTTATGTTTTATACAGTGTGTTTATTTTGGTGAATGTGTGTTTTAGGCATAGTGTCTTAAAAGATTATTATTTTTATTTGCTAGAATCTGGCTTCCACCTGAACTGGTTTCTTTCAGTTTTGAGATGCCATGTAGAATGAAAGTGTGATGCAGTAATATTTATACCTTTATTATTATGAAGTCTATAATTAATATGAGGTGTACATTCAAAATAGTATGTCAAATTGATTTTTGAGCATAAATTTAATAATCCGAAGAATAAGAATTAATAAGTTGAATAAATTGATGGCTTATTAGAAGAGTGAATGAAAATAGATTTTCTTGGTTCATTTTTGTGTTGCCCCTTTACTTCTCCATCTACCCAAATCTCCTCATGTCACTTCTCCGAGTGCTGGGAAGAGGAAATTATTTATTCTTTCTGAAGGCACATATATCTTTCTTCCTTATTCTATAGTTGTCTGTGTATATTTCCCCTACTAAAATATAAGCCATCAAGACACAAAGCCTGCAACTTTTCTAAAATCAACAGAACTTCATTTTTCTATTACTTCTTTTTCTCATAGCTATGACATTTGGCCCAAGATTTGATGAATTAATGGAGGTGGTTTCCTTCTGTTTTGGGCTTTCTGTTGCTGGAAGAATAGAAAATGGCACTTGCCACTTTCTCCATTTGTCTCTAACTAGTTACATTGAGAGGCTGAAAGATTGCCATTTTAGCATACTCTCTGCCAATATTCTACCAATTAATTCTCATTGCAGTGGCAACTTTTAGGACATTGACTCTTCTTTATTAGGATTGTAACCAGCAACTTAATACACATAGCTCGCTATATACATGTGAGATGGCAGCAACTTCCAATCAATTTCTACCTTGATTGGATTCAAACTGTGACCTAGAGGGGAGTATCAATTCCTTGAGTCATTACCTTCTCAAGAAAAGAATGTTTATTTTCTTTCTAAATCAGGCATTTATGATTCCTTTCAATACTACTTCAGTGTCACCATGTTTGGGAAGTGAACTTTCATGTACAAATGTTCATTTTAATTTTATAAAGGTTTAACGACTTGTTTGAGGCATATAATGTATATTTTCTTTCACACAACATATACTGATATGTAGAAAGGAATATTTTTCATAGTATAATGTGCAATGCAAATATTTCATGGTCAAATAAAAATATGGGTCAGTGTCAAACTGAATATTTTAAAGTGCTAAAACAGAATCAAACTTTTTTACAATAAGGCACATCTCTTTAGGGGATCTCTTTCAGTAATTATGTTAAATCAGGAAATTTGACTAGAATACAAAGAGTGATATTGAGCAAAAATGAACAAACATAGTAGCCATTAAATATTTGACTTTATATTGAAAAAAGGATAGAACATCCTTTTTTATAGTTTTGCTAATGAGATTACATTTTATAACAAGCTACTATTTTTCTAACTTTATATATCATAAGAAAAATTTCTAATATTTGTTATACATCTGTAAGTATATTTAAGGTGTTTTTATAAAACATTGTTTTAAGAAGAAGGTACCATATATGTCTAGTTACAAAAATGTATTCAAAACATGGATAATTCCTACATGAGTTTTTCATTGGAATGACATGTAATTTCAATTACATGTCATTTTCCTCTACTGGGAGTCAAAACTATCATCACTCAGACCAGAATGTAGAGTTCATCAAAAAGACAGTAGGAAGATTACAGAAAGAGAAAAGCCTAGCTATAGGAGGTCAGAAAAGACACCCCTTGCTAAATTCTGAGAAAGATATACTCTCTGAAGGGAACCAAAACTTTAGGGTAAATTCACTGGACCCAAAGATATACTCAGTTGACTCTAGAGAATAAAGATAAAATCCTAAATATTAAAAAATGAGAATTTTTATAAGTAAACATACTATTAACAAAGATCAAATGTATGTTTGACTGGTATGCCTGAAAGTGATGGGGAGAATGGAACCAAGTTGGAAAATACTCTGCAGGTTATTATCCAGGAGAATTTCCCCAACCTAGCAAGACAGGCCAACATTCAAATTCAGAAAATACAGAGACCACCACAAAGGTACTCCTTGAGAAGAGCAACCCCAAAACACATAATCATCAGATTCACTAAGGTTGAAATGAGGAAAACAATGTTAAGGGCAGCCAGAGAGAAAGGTTGGGTTACCCACAAAGGGAGGCCCATCAGACTAAGAATAGATCACTCTGCAGAAACCATACAAGCCAGAAGAGAGTGGAGGCCAGTATTCAACCTTCTTAAAAGAATTTTCAACCCACAATATCATATCCAGCCAAACTAAGCTTCATAAGTGAAGGAGAAATAAAATCCTTTACAGACAAGCAAATGCTGAGAGATTTTGTCACCACCAGGCCTGCCTTACTAGAGCTCCTGAAGGAAGCACTAAATATGGAAGGAAAAACTGGTACTAGCCACTGCAAAAACATACCAAATCATAAAGCACATCAGCACTATGAAGAAACTGCATCAACTAACAGGCAAATTAACTAGCTAGCATTGTAATGACAGGATCATTTTTTCCTTCATTTCAACCTTGGTGAATCTGATGATTATGTGTCTTGAGCTTGCTCTTCTTGAGAAGTATCTTTGTTGTGTTCTCTGTATTTCCTGAATTTGAGTGTTGGCCTGTCTTCCTAGGTTCACACATAACAATATTAACCTTAAATGTAAATGGACCAATTAAAATACACAGGTTGGCAAATTGGATAAAGAGTCAAGACTCATTGATGTGCTGTTATTCAGGAGAACCATCTCATGTGCAAAGACACACATATGTTAAAAATAAAGGAATGGAGGAATATTTACCAAGCAAATGGAAAGTATAAAAAAAGCAGGGGGTGCAATCCTAGTCTCTGATAAAATAGACTTTAAACCAATGAAGATCAAAAAAGACAAAGAAGGGCATTACATAATGGTAAAGGGATCAATGCAACAAGAAAAGCTAATTATCCTAAATATAGCACCCAATACAGGAGCACCCAGATTCATAAAGCAAGCTCTTAGAGACCTACAAAAAGACTTAGACTTCCACACAATAATAGTGGGAGAGTTTACCACCCCACTTGTTAATATTAGACAGATCAATGAGAACAAAATTAAGAATATTCAGGATGTGAACTCAGATCTGGACCAAGCAGAACTAAAGACATCTACAGAAGTCTCTACCCCAAATCAACAGAATATACATTCTTCTTGCCACCACATCACACTTATTCTAAAATTGGTCACATAATTGGAAATAAAACACCCCTCAGCAAATGCAAAAGAATGAAAATCGTAACAGTGTCTCAGACCACAATGCTATCAAATTGGAACTCAGGATTAATAAATTCACTCAAAACCACACAACTACATGGAAACTGAACAACCTGCTCCTGAAAGACTACTGGGTAAATAACAAAATTTAGGCAGAAATAAATAAGTTCTTTGAAAAAGATGAGAACAAAGACACAATATAGCAGAATCTCTGAGACACAGCTAACGCAGTGTTTAGAGGAAAATTTATAGCACTAAATACCCACATAAAAAAGCAGAAAAGATCTAAAATTGACACCCTAACATTACAAAGGAACTGGAGAAGCAAGAGCAAACAAATTCAAAAGCTAGCAGAAGATAAGAAATAACTAAGATAGGAACAGAACCAAAGGAGATAGAAATATGACAAACTCTTCAAAAAAAAAAAATCAATGAATCCAGGAGCTTGTTTTTTAAAAGATTAAATAGATAGACTTCTAGCCACCTAATAAGGAGGAAAAGAGAGAAGAATCAAATAGGCAAAATAAAAAATGACAAAGTGGATATCACCACTGATCCCGTAGAAATAAAAACTACCAACAGAGAATACTATAAACACCTCTATGCAAATTAACTAGAAAATCTAGAAGAAATGGATAAATTTTTGGACACATACATTCTCTCAAGACTAAACCAGGAAGGAGTCGAATTCCTCAATAGACCAATAACAGGTTCTGAAATTGAGGCAGTAATTAATAGCCTACCAACCAAAAAAAAAAAGTCAATGAGAAAATGAATTATTCAATAAAGATTATTGAGACAAATGGCCTTATAACCACTAAAGGGAAAAGGGAAAAGAAAAAAGGAAAAAGAAAAACAGAATTGACTCCTAGAGGACTGGGGGAAATTTAGCTCTTTACCTTCTTTTTCACAGCCATAATTTCAATATTAAACAAAAATGAAAACACAAGAAGAGAGCATAAATGGCCATGTTTAGTCCTGAGTCCAGGGTGAGATAACAATGGTAGATCATTCACAGTCTCAACTTTGAAAGTATTTGACAACATATAAATTATATTAGTTCATTTTTACATTGCTGATACAGACATACCTGAAACCAGAAGGAAAAAGAGGTTTAATGGACTTAACAGTTCTACATGCCTGGGGAGACCTCACAGTCATAGTTGAAGGCAAGGCAGAGCAAGTCACGCCTTAGGTGGATGGTGGCAGGCAAAGAGAGAGCTTGTAAAGGAAAACTCCGTCTTATAAAACCAACAGATTTCCTGAGACTTATTCACTATAATGAGAACAGCACAGAAAAGACCTGTCCCCATGATTCGGTTATCTCCCACTGGGTCCCTCCCACAACATGGTGGAATTATTGGAGCTACAAGTTGAGATTTGGGTGGGGACACAGAGCCAAACCGTATCATTCTGCCCCAGGTCCATTGCAAATCTCATGTTCTCACATTTCAAAACCAATCTGTCTTCCCAACAGTCCCCCCAAAGTTTGAACTCATTTCAACATTAACTCAAAGTTCACAGTCCAGCATCTCATCTGAGACAAGGCAAGTCCCTTCTGCCTATAAGCCTGTAAAATCAAAAGCAAGTTAGTCACTTCCTAGTTACAATGCAGGAGCAGGCATTGGGTAAATACAGTCATTCCAAATGGTAGATATTGGCCAAAACAAAGGAACTCCAGGCCCCATGCAAGTCCTAAATCTACCAGGTCAGTTAAATCTTAAAGCTCCAAAATGACCTCCTTTGACTCCACATCTCATATCCAGGTCATGCTGATGCAGGAGGTGGATTCCCATGATCTGGAGCAGCTCTGCCCCTGTAGCTTTGGAGGGTACAGCCTCCTTCCCAGCTGCCTTCATGGGCTGGCATTGAGTGTCTGTGGCTTTTCTAAGTGCACAGTGCAAACTGTTAGTGCATCTACCATTCTGGGATCTGCAGAACAGTGGCCCTTTTCTCACAGCTCCATTAGGCCATGTCCCAGTAGGGACTCTGTGTGGGGGCTCCCACCCAACATTTTCCTTCTGCGCTCCCTAGCAGAGGTTCTCCATGAGGGCCCTGCCCCTGCAGCAAAGTTCTACCTGGGAATCCAGGCATTTCTCTACATCCTCTGAAATTCAAACGTTCTGAAACCCCAATTCTTGACTTCTTTGCACTCACAGGCTCAACACTGTGTTGAAGCTGTCAAGACTTGGTGCTTGTACCCTCTAAAGCCATGTCTTAAGCTCTACATTTGCCCCTTTCATCTATCGCTAGAGAAGCTGGGACTCAGGGTATCAAGTCCCTAGGCTGTACACAGCATGGGGACATTGGACCTGGCTCACAATGCCACTTTTTTTCTCCTAGGCCTCTGGGCCTGTGATGGGAGGACCTCTGACATACCCTGGAGACATTTTCCCCATTGTTTTGGGGATTGACATTTGGCTCCTTGTTACTTTGCAAATTTGTGCAGCCAGCTTGAATATCTCCTCAGAGAATGGGATTTTCTATCACATTGTCAGGCTGCAAATTTTCTGAACTTTTATGCTCTTCTTCCCTTACAAAACTGAATGCCTTTAACAACACCCAAGTCACATCTTAAATGCTTTGCTTCTTAGAAATTTCTTCTGCCAGATATGCTAAATTATCTCCCTCAAGTTCAAAGTTCTGCAAATCTCTAGGGCAGTGGCAAAGTGCCACCAGTATCTGTTAAAACATAACAAGTATCACCTTTGCTCCAGTTCCCAAGTTCCTCATTTCCGTCTGAGACCACCTCAGCCTGCACTTCACTGTCCATATAGTTATCAACATTTTGGGGAAAACCATTCAACAAGTCTCTAGGAAGTTCCAAACTTTCTCACATTTTCCTATCTTCTTCTGAGCCAAACTGTTTCAGTCTTTTCTGTTACCTAATTCCAAAGTCACTTCCTCATTTTTGGGTATCTTTTCAGCAGTTCCCTACTCGACTGGTACCAATTTACTGCATTAGTCTGTTTTCACACTGCTGGTAAAGTCATACCCAAGACCAGGAAGAAAAAGAGGTTTAATGAACTCACAGTTCCACATCGCTGGGGAGGCATCACAATCACAGTGGAAGGCAAGGAGAAGCAAGTCACATCTTACACAGATGGTGGCAGGCAAAGAGAGCTTGTGCAGGAAAACTCCTTCTTATAAAATTATCAGGTCCCATGAGACTTATCCACTATCACAGGAACAACACAGGAGAGATCTGCTCCCATGATTCAATTATCTCTCACAGGTTTCCTCCCAGAACAGGCAGGAATTACGGAAGCTACAAGATAAGATTTGGGTGGGGACGCAGAGCCAAACCATATCATAAATTAAAAACTTGGCCACACATGGTGGCTCATGACTATAATCCGAGCACTTTGGGAGGCCAAGGTGGGTGGATCATCTGAGGTCAGGAGTTCGGGACTTGCTTAGCCAACATGGTGAAACCCCGTGTCTACTAAAAGCACAAAAATTAGCCAGGTGTGGTGGTGGGTGCCTGTAATCCCATCTACTTGGAAGGCTGAGGCAGGAGAATTGCTTGAACCTGGGAGGCAGAGGTTGCAGTGAGTTGAGATTGCACTGCTGCACTCCAGTCTGGGCAATGAGAGTAAGATTCCATCCAATAAAACCCAAAAAACAAAAAACCTTAGTTAAACAATGAAGGAAGAAAAAGTTTTAAAGAACAAATGGGAAAAATATTCATGAAGCAAAAGACTAGAAGTCTAATATTTCTTATAACAAGAACTCTTAGCCATCTATAGGAAAAGAGCAAATTTAATTGAATAATAATATCAATAAGCAACTTACAAAATAAAAATCAGTCATACAATAATATGTGTGATCTCATAAAATTATTTAAATAAAATATCCTTTCTACCAGTTTCTTTCAAGAAAACACAAAATTTTATGTAAAGCTTCTTGTTTTTAAAATATTGACTAAATTATAAAAAAAAATATGTTGGCCAAAAAAAATTTAAAAAGGCAACTCTCTGGGCTATGACTTTGTAAGCTTGATTGGAAAAATTTAAGGATGACTAGCTTCTTTATCAGACATCTAAGCATTGAACAAGCTCTGCAGAATTTGGGAAAGAATACTTTGTGAGGATGGCAGTTACTCTTCACAATTTTCTTCCTTGAAACCACTATTAAATAGTATTATACTTATGGAATTATTCTTCCATTAGTAGAATTTTCTGCAAAGTTTGAGATTAGAGCATTTGACATAGTGAATGAATAGAATTTTTGGTAAATGCTAAAAGTAAATTTCTTACTATTCCCATGTCTACACAGTATATAGTTACTTTTCAGGAGAAAAATATGAAGACGTACTGGTATTGCTTTCATCACCTTTATTGAAATATAGTTTGCAAACAATAAAATTCACTCTTTTTAGTTGTATACTCCAAGTTTTGAAATATATATATATTCTTATGCCACTAAAAAGTATGTATAACATTTCCATCACTCTAAAAGTTCCTTCCTGTCCTTTTACAGTTAATCTTCTCTTGCAGCCCCTAGCTGTAACAATCACTGATTTCCATTCTGTTACTATTGTTTTGTCTTTTTAAATTTTCTATAAATGGAATCATGAACTATGTGTTCATATTAGTCTGCATTCTTTCCCTTATTATTATTTTTAGCATCATCCATGTTTATAGTGTGTTTCAATAGTATGATTGTTTGAAGACTAGCATGCCATTGTATAATTATACCATAATTTGTTCATTAATTCATCAGATAATGAGCATTTGGGTTGTTTCCAGTTTTTGGCTATTAAGAATAAAACAACTGTGAAAGATTACACATAGGTCTTAATGTGGAAATATGTTCATTTCTCTTGGGTAAATATCTAGGAGTGAAATTGCTAAGCTATTGGTCACTTGATTGACTGTTTAACTGTATAAGGAACTAGAAAAGCTTTTAACATATATGTACCATTTTGCATTCCTGTCTGAAATGTATGAGAGTTTGAGTTGCTCTACATCCTCATCAATGCTTGATTTTATCAGTCTTTTTAATGTTAGCCATTTTAGTGGTATAAAGAGGAATTCCATTGTGCTTTTAGTTTGCATTTCCTTAATGTTTAGTGATAGTGAACATATTTTCTTGTTCTTATTTGCCATAAATATCTCTTCTTGAGTTAAGTGTCTGTTTCAATCTTTCACTTATTTGTTAACATTTGGGTTGATTACTTTTTTTTAAATTTAAATTTAATTTTATTTTACTTTAGGTGTATACTATATCCAGCATTTCTCCCCATGTTATCCCTCCCTACCCTCCCCACCTCCCCACCTCCCACTATCCCTCCCCTACCACCCCCAACTGCCTCTAGTGTATGATGCTCCTCTCCCTGAGTCCATGTGTTCTCATTGTTCAACACCCACCTATGAGTGAGAATTTTTAATTATTTGTTTCTTATAACTTTTTATATATTCTGGATACAAGTTATCAGGTATATGTTTTACATTTTCTCCAAGTTGGTACGTTTTTTGGTTTCTTTAACAGTACCTCTCAGAGAGCAAAACATTTTACTTTTAACAAAGATCTTTTATTACTTTTAAATAAATATTTTACCTGTCATATATATATATATGTATATATATATTGCAGGAGTGTTGTGTTACCATCACTACTGTTTGTATCCAAAACTTACTGTCTTCCCCATCTTCAGGGTCACAGGCAATACTCCTTTAACTGAAGACAGGTTAACAATAGAAAAGTCAACAAAGCGTGCAAAAAAATATAAATACTCAAAGAAAGACCAGATGGTTGAGATTTAAAAACCTTCTTAAGGGGAGAAGGAAGTAGAAATGTGTAGGTAAATTATTTCTAGTGGAAATGGATGGTCCTGGGGAACAATGTTCTGGGATGAAGTTTCTCTGAGCTCTGGGGAGATGGTGGTAAGTTGAGGGGTGGAAGTTTATTGTGAACAAAGACTATTTTTTCATGCAGATAAAGTCTCCCAAGGTAACCTTCTGGAGCCGTTCTCAAAAGAATAGATAAAAGTTTGTTGGGGCTTGGTGAAGTCCTCCAATCTCTTCTTGAGTGGCTAATCTTTCCTGGTTATTTGATGAGCTACCAGGGAGGGTGGCTTAAGACAATTGCATTTCTTTTTAAAAGAAACTTTCTGCCACGCATGGTGGCTCACAACTGTAATCCCAGCATGTTGGGAAGCTGTAGGACTGCTTAAGGTCAGGAGCTTGAGAGTTTTGGTAACATAGCTACACCCCATCTCTGCAAAAGTTAAAGATTAAAAAATAGCATGGTGTAGATGTGTGCACCTTTAGTCCCAGCTGCTTGGAAAAGTGAGGTGGGATGATTGCTTGAACCCAGGAATTTGAGGCTACAGTGAAGTATGATTACACCATTGCACTCCAGCCTGGGCAACAGCACAAGACCCTGTCTCTCTAAAAAAAAAAAGAAAGAAAAAAAAAAAAAAAGAAAGAAAAGAGGAAAAAAGGAAAGGAAGAAAAGGAAGGGAAGGAGGTAGGAAGGAAGAAAGAAAAGTTTTCTTAGTCACATAAGGAAATTTCAGAGAAAGTCACTCCCACAGCTTCAGGAAAGAAAGGATGTCTCAGAAACAGGGAGGTGGGAGAAGGTCAGAGGGAGACCTTGAGACTGCTTCTTTCATTCAGCATGTCAAAATGTCATATTTTCGTGTGTTTTTTGAGCCCAACGTTATACATACAAATGCATGCATGTGTGTGTGTGTGTGTGTGTGTGTATAAATTTATATCCAGTATGGTAAAATACTGAATGAAGAGAAATAGTAATTGTTATCTCAGATTTAATATTATTATAGGTTATTCTATTGTGAAAACTTTCTTAACTGTAAGAAAATTTTATATTTACTTAAAAACTTATTTTTATGAAGATAATTGACTTCTTAAGTTGAAAGGCCCCTTTCTAAAAATGGGCAGTGTATGCCACTTCACACCATTACTCCAAAGAAAATGTATAAATGGCCAATAAGTTTATGGAAAGATATTCAACATCACTAATCATTAGAAAAGTGGAAGCAGGTGGATTATCTGAGGTCAGGAGTTCGAGATCAGCCTGGCCAACATGATGAAACTCCATCTCTACTAAAAAAAACCAAAAAATTAGCCAGATGTGGTGGCAGGTGCCTGTAATCCCAGCTACTTGGGAGGCTGAGGCAGGAGAATCACTTGAACCCTGGAGGCAGAGGTTGCAGTGGGCCAAAATTGTGCACCACTGCACTCCAGTCAGGGTGACAAGAGCAAAACTTCATCTCAGAAAAAAAAAAAAAGAAAAATAGAAATTACATTTTCTTATTTTCATCAAGTAAGATAGCTATTATTAAAAAACAAACAAACAAGGAAATAACAACTTTTTGAGAGGATGTGATGAAATTAGAACCGTTGTATCTTGCTGGTAGAAGCATAAAATGGTACAGCCATTATGGAAACAGTAATACAGTTCTTGGGAAAATTAATAATATAATTACCATATGATATGCAATTATACATCTGAATATATACTCCCATAAATGAAAGTGGGGACTCAAACATAT